AAATTCTCTCTCTCTCTCTCTCTCTCTCTCTCTCACTCACTATTTCTTTAAAAAAAAAAAAAAAAAAAAAAAAGGAGACAGACCCAGGGAGCCCAAGTAACTTCCTGAGGCAGTTAAGCTAAGGTCAATGGCAGAGCCAGGAGTTAATCCTTTAGCTTCCAGCCCTGATGCTCTCCACTCTTCATCTGCACCTCAGGGTGCTTCAGCCTCCCAAGGGAAACCTGGCTTCCAGTCCTGTCTATGCCCCAAACTTGCTGTGTAACCTAAAACAAGTTACCTCTTGGACCTCAATTGCTTTATCTGTCATACTTAACATATTAAAAAATTCTGAGCTGACATTGTGAAATTCTCTGTAATTCTCTACCCTCAGGATTCTGCCAATCTCAAACTCTAGGCCCCAGTTCTCCTAATATCCTGTAGGTAGAGACCACAAATACATATTCTCAGAATCTCCAGAGCCAAAGTTTCTGTCTTCTCTCAGTAGAGAGCAGAACTGGTGCGTCAGACTGGGAGATACTCACCTGGCCAGTAGGAGCTAATCCAGAGGTTCATGTTCTGGTGATAAAACCCTGACCCAACCTAATATGCAACCCCCAAGTGAGGACTCAGCCCTAGTAACTCAGAGGAGCCAGGATATAATACCAGGAGACTTTTGGTGGGGGAGGGAGTAGCATCCTATTCTTTAGAATGATGTCCCTAAAGTGTCCACATTCCTGCAATGCTGAACCTCTGCCTGTCACACCCACTTCCTGCTAACTTTATACTCTACGTTGACCTCTTTGCTGGCAAACTAAATAATCCCTAACACACCTGTTCTTTCATACCACACTTGTTTAATCTATATAGAACCTTATGTGGTTCATAAGCCCCACACTCCTAATACAGCATTCATGGCCCTCTATGACCCAGACCTAGTTCTCTCCTGCTTCATTCCCCCCTTATTCTCATCCATGTACTTTGTGCTGAGGTTAAACTCCTCATTGTCTCTTTAGCATTCTCACCTCCTGGCATGCCTTTCTGAAATCCAGATCTGTCTTGTCTTCCAGATTCTACTCATTCCTTTTTCTAGGTAGTCTTCCTTGATCTACGCATGTGTCAATGGCCACCTTGATGCACAGGCATTTGTTTATTCAGTAAAAACAGTAAGTAACCAGGAGTGCTGACATACTATAGACCCAGCAGAGGCAGAAGAATTGTTTGAGCCCAAGAGTTTAGGGCCAACCTGGACAGCATACCAAGACCCTGTCCCTTAATTTTAAAAAATTTAATGAAAGATAAATATGCAAATGATGATACCTGAATGTGTATGTGTCTTCCTCAGGGGATGATGGGCATCCCAAGGGCAGAATCATTTTCCGTTCACTTTCCCACTCAGTCTGCGATGGGTCTGGCACAGAGTGGACTTGAATTCAAAGCTCAGTGTTGCAGATTGGAGCTCATGAAGGATGGTTGGCATAGGATTCTATACCTGGACCCTCTATGCTGTTACAGGCAGAGTTCGGTTCAGCACCAGGTTCCTGTTCCACAAGCCCAGAGAAGAGGGCTCTTGGCATACACTCTGGTGCCCTAAATGACCGGGATTCTATTTCCAGTATTAAATGAACCCCATGTACAGTCAGCTAGGCAGATTCCAGTCTTTCATTTCTCTGTAGAGTCAGGAGTATTCATGAAAAGTTGGGGGACTGGAGTCCAGTGGATTTGCCTCTTAAAACCCTTGGCACCCATCCCTCCTCTCCACTGAAGAGATTATCAGAAAAAGAAAAAAAAGAGAGAGGTCATCAGGGATGAAAGAGACTTCAGATCTAACTTACCCAAACCCCTCATTTTATAGGTGGGGAAACTGAAGCCCAGAGAGAGAGGGAAAAAAAAAAAAAAAACAACTTCTTAGAATCATATGGTAGCTGAGCCATCTATTGACCCTTGCCCTAGGGAGTGGCCTGAGGACCCTAACTTGGGCCAGGGGCCATAAAAAGATGCAATGGAAATAAACAAGAACAACAACAAAAAAGAGATAATGGGCATCACAATGAGAGTAATCCTGGAGTTTCATTTCCAATTGGATATGAGGTACCATTCCTGTATACACACATGTGGCCATCCATGCATACACATGAAGGCATCCATGTAGAAATAGATACCTATGTGCACATGAGCTCACACCCATGGGGTTAAAAGTTGCCCACACCCATCTAATCCATGCCCAGATGTGAGCACCTGCCCAATTTTATGAACTCCAGAATTGGAGGTCAAGAGGCCACCCTTCTATTCCTGTCTAGGCCTTGGGCCTGCCCTCACCATGCCCTGGGGATTCCCTGTTGGCTTCCCCCACCCCACTTCAAAGGGCAGGAGATGTGTCAGCCTGGGTGTGATGCTCATGGGACCTTGTGTGTACTCACAGGTATGAACCAGTCTATATGCCTGGCTGGAGAAACTGCTTGCCACTCCCCTTCCTCCTTGCCTTATCCACCTTTCCTTAAGATAGAGGGTGAGGTTGAGAGGAAGCCTTCAGATGTAGATCATTCATTCCTCCCATGTTACTGTGAATAAACTGAAAAATTTTTAGATTTCTTTTTTTTTTTTTTAAAGACAAGTCTCATGTTACCCTGGCTGGCCCCAAACTCCTGGGCTCAGTAATCTGTTTCAGAGTAGCCAGAACTATGGGTGCATACCTCCACCCATGCCTGGTAGGAGAGAAACTATTAATGTGTAAATTCAGCCAGGGCAGACATAGTCCCCACATTTCCTCCAACAAATGGCCAATTCTTTAACAAGAACTTTTACTCAAAAAGAGGTTTTTCTGATCAGGACAGCATTCATTTCAGAGAGGGGAAGCAGGGGTGGGGTGGGAAAGTAGTTTAGTTTTATCCATCTATCCCTGGGGTATGAGGGTGGGTGGTTTCTGGGACAGTGTGAGTGTGGACAAGTATCTACCGCTTGAGCCACATCCCCAGCCCCAAGACTTACTAATCTTACTCTAGTACATTTTGTTTTAGTGAAAATATTTTTGTGATATTCCCAATAAATAGAGTTGCAACTGGCAGAAATTTTTTTTCTTTTTCTTTTGCCAAAGTCATATAGTTGAAATTGAGTAATTTGAATGTGTAGGATACCACTGACTCCAGGGTAGATATAAGCAAACTGGTACTTCTTCCAGGAAGCTCTCCAGAATCTCCCTGGGAGGAAGGAAGTGCCCTCTTTCTCCTTAGAGCTCCTAAAACCTATGGCCTGTCTCTTCCAGTACTGCACACTTTGAATTCACCACATACCCAGGAATGCTGAGTTCCTTTCTGGGAGACAGATGCTTTTTCTATATTTAAGATTCCCATTCAGTATAAATAGAAACATAAACAGAAACATTATAATTCAGGGAGATAAGAGCTAGGACAGTGGGTAGGACAAGGTGCTAAGAGAATCCAACAAAAGGGTATTCAAAGAAGACTCCCATGGAAGAGAAGACATCAGCCAGGCTTTGAAGGTCAGAAGGAGCTTGCTTTGGGGCAAATGGGTTGAAAGTCCTGGAATAAAATTTCAAATCAGGAGCCCTACACCCTTGTTTGACTTGGCTCTGCTTCTAATTTGCTCCATGACCTTGAGTGACTTTGTCCCTCCCTGGGTCTCCATTTTTCTAGCTATACAATGGAGACATGATGAGAATTCCTTTGCTTACTCATTTTTTTCTTTCTGCCCAGAACTTTCTAAGGAGAAATTTGTCTTTCTAGACTTTTGAGATAGCACTAAGATAACAGGGTGACAGAGAATGGAAAGAGGACAGGAAAGAAGCTGGGTAGGGGAAAAGACACCTTGGGGAAAGTTTTCTCTTCTGTTTTTAAGACTTTTTTTTTTTCTTTTATGGTGTTGGGAATCAAACCCAAAACCTTCATGTATTCTAGGCAAGTATTCTACCGCTGAGCTACCATACCCAGCCCTTTCTTTAAAAATTCCATTTTGAGACAGGGGTCTCAATAATTTGTCTTATCTGGTTTAGGAGGTGTTCTGAAGACTTTCGTGTAATAGTCTATTACAGCCTCACAATAATCTTGTAAGGAAGCCACTTTGATGCAGATTTGGAAACTGAGACCAGAGGGTAAGGAATTTGCTCAAGTTTTCCAACAACTGCTAAGTGACAGACTGACACATGAATCCAGCCAATCTAGCTTCCAGAATCCACAATCTCTGTGACATTGCCTATCAGTGTGACTTACAGTGTTAGCAAAACCTTTTTTGCCTCCAGATCCCTTATTCACAGGTGTTAGAAATCCTGCCACCACTATTATGTCCTCTTTCATAATTTTTTTAGGGGGTACCAGGGATTGAACCCAGGGGCACTGGGCCACTGAGCCACATCCCCAGCCCTTTATTGTGAGATAGGGTCTCACTGAGTTGCTTAGCACTTCACCATTGCTGAGGCTGGCTTTTTTTTTTTTTAAATATATTTTTAGTGTAGATGGAAATATTTTATTTTTATTTATTTACTTTTATGTGGTGCTGAGAATTGAACCCACTGCCTCACATGTACTAGGTAAGCGCTCTATCATTGTGCCAACCCCAGTCCCCTGAGGCTGGCCTTGAACTCCCTATCCTCCTATCTCAGCCTCCTGAGCCACTGGGAATGTCCTCTCTCATA